TACCCCTCACGGCGAAACTAGCATGAGATCTCTGTCAGTTTTGAGTAAACAACAGTGTGTCCGTCTGAAGACCAGACATCCAGCTGCACCTGGCAAATGGATCATTCTGCACCACTGATCCGGGAACAGCCATCCCGTATTAACCTCAACTACTAAAACAAGAGAAAGAGAAAGATTGGGTTAGCTAACACACTGTGTGTGTATTCACTGGCCACTTTTATTAGATACACCTTGCTAGTACCAGTTTGGACCTCCTTAGCCTTTAGAACTGCCTTCATTCTTCATGGCATTGATTCAACGTTGTGCTGGAAATTGGATTTTGGTCATGATAGCATCACACAGTTGCTACAGATGTATCGTCTGCTAATCCATGATGCGAATCTCGCATTGCAGCACAACCCAAGGACTGTGGAGGCCATTGAGTTTAGTCACATCTCACTGTCATGTTCAGAAACCAGATTGAGATTATTTGAGTTTGGAGAGTTGACATGGAGAGTTATAGCCATCAGAAGATGGTTCACTCACTGTGGTCATAAAGGGATGGAGATGGTCAGTAATAATTGGTACTAAAGGCCAAAAGTGTGCCAAGAGAATGTCTAACACACCATTACACCACCAGCAGCATGAACCACTAATACAAGGATCTGAGAATTGATCCATAGCATGCTTTCATGATGTTTAAGCCAAATTCTGATCCTACCATAGCAGAAATCCAGACTCATCAAACCAGGCAACGTTTTTTCCAATCTTCTATTGTCCATTTTTGTTGAGTCAGTGTGAATTGTAGCCTCAGTTTCCAGTTCCCAGCTGATTGGAGAGTTATCGCTGTGTGTTTTCTGCTGCTGTATCTGCTTCAATGTTTGATGTGTTGTGCATTTAGAGATGCTCTTCTGCAGACCTCTGTAACGAGTGCTTATTAGTGTCATTGTTGCCTTTCTATCAGCTTGAACCAATCTGGCCATTCTCCTCTGACCTCTGGCATCAACAAGGCTTTTTCGCCCTTAGAACTGCCACTCAATGAATACTTTTTTGGACTATCCTCTGTAGAGATGGTTGTGTGTGAAAATCCCAGTAGATCAGCAGTTTCTGAAATACTCAGACCAACCCGTCTCTCACCAACAACCAGCCCACGTTCAAAGTCACTGAAATCACCTTTCTTCCCCATTCTGATCCTCAGTATCAACATCTTGACCACGTCTGCATGCCTGAATGCATTGAGTTGCCGCCATGTTGAACATGTTGAGCAGTTGAACACATGAACCTAATACAGCATGTGAGTGTGTGCTACCATAATATGAAATGATAATATTTGAGAAATGTTATATTTCTTATTGACTAAAGAATTTAAAGGGATACTCCACTTTTTTTTTTTTGGAAATATGCTCATTTTACAACTCCCCCAGAGTTAAACTGTTGAGTTTTACCTTTTTTGAATCCATTCAGCCGATCTTCGGTTCTGGCGGCACCGCTTTTAGCATAGCTTAGCATACATCACTGAAGTGCACAAGACCAGTAGCATTTCTCTCAAAAAAATGACCAAAGTGTTTAGATATTTTTCCTATTTAAAACTTGACTCTTCTGTAGTTACATCGTGCACTGCACTTAGACAAACGGAAAATGTAAAGTTGCGATTTTCTAGGCTGATATGCAGGGAACTATACTCTCATTCCTGCGTAATAATCAAGACACTTTACTGCCGTACCATGAGTGCAGCAGGCGCGATGACTACACAAACTTAGTCCCAGTCACTTTAGAAGCTGGGGACTATTTTCAGGCGTTGCGTCATAACATTACGCCCCCTGCACTCATGGTACGACAGTGAAGTTTAGTTAGAAGTATAGTTCCTAGTCATATCAACCTAGAAAATCGCAACTTTACATTTTCCGTCTGTCTTAGTGCACGATGTAACTATAGAAAAGTCAAGTTTTATATAGGAAAAATATCAAAACACTTTGGTAATTTTTGGGGGAGAAATGCTAATGGTCTTGTGCACTTCAATGATGCATGCTAAGCTATGCTAAAAGTGGTACCGCCAGAACCGAAGATCGGCTGAATGGATTCTAAAAAGGTAAAACTCAACAGTTTAACTCTGGGGGAGTTGTAAAATGAGCATATTTCCAAAAAAAAAAAAAGTGGAGTATCCCTTTAAAAAAATGGTTGTGGCTGTTTTTTATAAGGTGGATATTTTGACCTAAAAACAGTAAGTCTGGGGACAATTGTGTAAAATGTAAACACGTCTCATGTGTCCTCCAGATGTTGCGCCACACATTCATGCCGCTCTTGCATAAGAACAACCTGCTGTGTTGAGAATAGTGACATCGAATCACTGGTCACCCTGCAGCGTGCGTGTGGAGGCGACTGAACGTTTCAAACAGAGCTTAGCTGAGAGATGGTGGCTCTTTTGTGTGTCTGTCAGACGATATAATGAGCTTATGAGAGGTAATAACATGTGCATTGTTTTTCATGACCCTTCTTGTGGGTGGGGAGCACAGGCATACAGAAAGTGTTAATGCCTTTCAGAAAGCTCATAAGTTCACACAATAGATATATCTGAAGTAGAAGCCCTGTTAAATCACTGCTCTATTGCAGGTGGTACATGTTTCCGTGACTTAAAGGGACAGTTCACTTTGAAATTAATCGATGTGTTTGAGCTTTGTCTTTGTTTTCCACAGTATTTTCAATTTTGATATTTTTAGGTCAAACCGTTCTTGTCTGTCAGTCATATAATGGAGGTCTATGGTCACCACCTTAAAGAGCATGCACAGAGAAGTCCAAATTAAACATGATTTACTGACATGTATGTAAGTACACATTGATCCCTAAGACAAGAAACAAGCGGTTTGTGTGAGAAAACGAACAGTATTTATATCGTTATTTTCATTCTTGTAACCACAGCCACGTCCAAGTGATCTGAGAGCACGGGCGCTTCGGTCTGCGCAAGCGCCGGAAGTGATCTCTCTTGAGCGTGTACGTCACTCATTGTTTACACAGAGATTTCAGAAGTGTTATCCTTCACTGTGAAGATCTAAACATATACAGGAAATCACAATGGAAGACGGTTTAGATATATCAACGGACAACGTTGAATTTTTTCTCAACGGCGAGAGAGATCACTTCCGGCGCTTTCCGGTGCTTGCGCAGACTGAAGCGCTTGGATCACTTGGACGTGGCTGTGGTTACAAGAGGTAAAAACGATATAAATACTGTTCGTTTTCTCACACAAATCGCTCGTTTCGTATCTTAGGCCATCAATGTGTATTTACATTTACGATATGACTTGACAGACAAGAACAGTTTGACCTAAAAATATCAAAATTGAAACTATTGCGGAAACAAAGACACCTTTAGGATGCCCTTGAGGTAAGCTAAAACATACCAAAAATTAATTTCAAAGTGAACTATCCCTTTAAAATGGTTACTGTACATTTCTGTAGTATTGGACTGTATTCTCAAAATCTTGAGAAATCAGTCACATTATTTACTTTTTAGAAAAGCTAATTGCTTTCTCAAAAAATAAAGCATTGAAATGGAATTAAATTGATTTAAAGTCCAGGTCAGTTAGGTTAAACAAGCAAACTGTAGGAAGATCGTTTCATGTTCTGAACACTCAAGAGTATATAATTAAATATCTCCCATTATAATGTTGTTCCTGTAAGGCGGACATTTTGGGATTTTCCAGTCAGAGCTCAATAGACTACTTTTAACGTTGTCTTACATTTAAGTCTTAAATTATCTTTAAGTATCTGCTATGTTGATGGACTAAAAATATAGGGAGAGGAAAAACCATTGTTCATGAAGTCTAGTGTTTATTGCTGACAGCATTGGTTGTATGTTTGAACCACATGACCTCCACCCTGTACCCTCACAGCTGGAGGTGACTTTCCCACATCTGCAAAAGTCTGATAGGACACAAATTAACTTTTGGGGGAATATGGTCCTGGCGGCAGTGTTTTTATTAATATTATTTTATTGTGAAAAATGCGTTTTAATTGTTCATTTACATGACAACAGCAGTTTGCAAACTTCTGAAAACAGAGTTTAAAGAGCAAGTTTTTGAAAACAACACCATTATAGTCTGTGTACACTTAAAAAAAAGGTTGTGACGTGCACATGACATGGGTATGATGTAGTGTTTCTTTACAAAGTGAAATCGCCACCTACTGGCATGGCACGGATAAGAAAGAGCTTTTAGTTGATTTAGCTTTGACAATATTGTGGTCTGTGTGCAGAAAAACGTTTCCCTTTTAGTACATCTTTGTCGCCTCAGTAAATAATGTGTATGAAATCATTGTTAGACTGATTCTTTAAATTATTATACTACCAAATATAGTAAGTACACTGCCTTTCAGGCGTTTGGGGTCAGTAAGAGATTTTTCTTTAAAGTAATTGATTTTATTCAGCATTAAATTGATCAAAAGTGACAGTAAAGACTTTATGCAGAGACATTTATATATATTTCAATAATTAAATTAAATTAATGGTGTTCTTTTGAACTTTTTGAACTCAAGAATCCTGGAAAAAAGTTTCCACAAAAAATATTTTCAACATTGATAATAATGAGAAATGTTTCTTGAGCATCAAATCATCATATTAGAATGATTTCTTAAATTTGTCAAAGCTGAACTTTCAGCATCATACCAGTCTTCAGTGTCACTGACATTTAATTTTCATATTTTCGATCAAATAAATGCAGCCTTGCTATCTTTCAAAATCACCAGAACCCCAGAAAAAAAATTATGTGATCAATAATCAAAGATATGTTTTTACTTTGCTTTAACTCATCAAAATAGTTAAGCATTTTTAATTATTTTTTTTATACTTAGCTCATATTCAACTTTTTTTATGACATGACATTTAGGTTGGAATGACTTAAACATCCAATTTGATTGTAGGCTACTTAAAATTTTAAGGCAGCAACTTTTTTTAGAGTGAATGGTGCTCAACAGAAAATTGGTAGGCTGGTTTGAGTGCGCTGCGCATTACACCAGTTGGGTCGGCCATTCCAAAGATAGCAGTGACTTGTTGGGTAGTGAAGAGTTAAAAGGTGTTCTGGTGCGTCACGCAGGTGCCTGTCTGCGTCTAAAATTTCGACGACATTCGAGTAGTTAGTGTCTAGGCTTCGTTTTCAAGTATATGAAATGTTTAGTAATAGGGTTGAACCGGCAACCTATAATCTCTCAGCACTGATGAACGTCGCGCGCGGATCGACCTCTCTTCCACACCACAAACCTCTTGAACGGATCACACGTCCTCTACTACAGCCAGGGTCCTCACTTAATTTTGCCCTATTTTACGCATTGTTTTGGCTGTGACTGCGTAGCTTTTCGACCGCTGGAAAGTTTCCTTTTCCGAAGGGACTTTTTTCTTTATCGCGTGGAAATGTGGTGGATGCTGTTTCCCAGATGGATTTGGTTTTTGTTAGGACACTTCTGCTTCTTGCGTTTGGACTTGCGCGCGAGAGCGATACCAATGACTCTGTCCAAAGTGGTGTATTCTCACGCGGGAATGTGTCCGAACGAGATGAACCCGAACCTGTGGGTGGATGCCATGAGCACCTGCACGCGCGAGTGTGAGTCCGACCAGGTGAGTGAAGCTGACCCATTCCTACGTGTCTCTCTATTGCATGGGTACAATTAAAAATAAATGCACAATTGTGCATTTAAAGTAAAAAAAAAAAAAGAAAAAAAAAATTCTAATAGAAATAGTTTTACCATTTCTAGATACTGTAATGGAACTGTTGTAACGTGACATCAGCAACTGTATAACATCTAAATATAATTTTCATCCATTAATTTGCAGTGTATTCATTTAGATTTGCATCTACCTCACATAACTATTCCTATATATTTTTTGCCATAAACAATAGTTATAGCATGGTGCCAAATTTACCATGTTAATCATGTTAACCATGTTACCATGTTAAAACGCATTTATATATATATATATATATATATATATATATATATATATATACACAGTTTTTCTGTAGTGATAAATGTACATATATATATATATATAGTCACTACAGTAAAATTGGTAATGTGCCATTATTATCAACAGCTGACATGAAATATAGAAAAAAACAATGGCAGAATGATTATGAAAATATAAAACGGTTTTACTAATATTACGAATTATAGCTATAGTATGTCTTATGGTTAGCATGGTAAATTTGATCGAATTTATAAACTTACTAAATTGACCATGGTAAGAAACCATAGTTTTACAGTTATTGCTGCTAATGTGGTATTAGCAAATAACTGTCATCAAAAAGAAATTAGGGAGAAAAATGACTAACACTATACAATGGAAAAAAATAAATAAATAATAATAATAATTACTGGTTTGGCGGTTACCATGGTCATTTTTGTAAGAGTGGATTTACAGCATTCAGAAATGGCGCATGTCATTATAAAATAGCATGCTTTTTTATATAAGAACAACAGCAATCTTTCTTTAATAATTCAGGTGTCATTAAATGTAGCAAACTGACCCATTTGAGTTTCTGTGACACCAGAAAATATCTTTTTCAATATGTTTTAAAAACTTAATTTATACATTATTTTAAAAGAATATGCTTGAATTCCTAAACATCTGCATACATTTTATTATTTTATTTTTGTTCTAATTGTTTGAAATGATTGAAAAACATGATTTTTTTTTTAACATGTGCTAACAATAAAAAACTGGAATTCTAAAACTATCAAAAAGCAACAGTCATGCTATTAACTTCTACAAACCTCCACAAAAATTCATAGTGATATCCCATTTTTGTTCCTCCAGGACTGTGAGCCATTCGAGAAATGCTGTTCGAATGTTTGCGGACACAAGAGCTGCGTGGCTGCCCGCTACATGGACCTTCAGGGCAAGAAAGGTCCAATGGGGATGCCTAAAGGGGTCACCTGTGACAAATTCATGTGCACCCAACAGGGTTCAGAGTGTGAAATCTGGGACGGACAGCCAGTGTGCAAGTGCCGGGACCGCTGTGGACGAGAGCCCCATTTCACCTGTGCCTCGGATGGCATGACGTACTACAACAAGTGCTACATGGATGCTGAGGCTTGCACCAGGGGTGTCACCCTCACAGAAGTCACCTGCAGGTACCACTTTAGTTTGTCCAACACCAGCCCTCCCCCAGCGGAGACCACTGCCCGGCCAACCACCGCCCATCTTGAGACCACCCCCATGGACGTTCAACGTCCCAACATGGTCAGCAACCCAGCGCACCACATCGTGTTTGTTGGCGAAACGGCCAGCTTCCTCTGTGAGGTGACAGGAAAACCGAAGCCGGCGATTACATGGGAAAAGCAGATTGAAGGTAAAGAGAACATTGTGATGCGACCCAACCACGTGCAAGACAATATAGTGGTTACCAACATCGCCCAGCTGGTCATTTACAATGCCCAGGTCCAGGATGCCGGCATCTACACCTGCACTGCCACGAACCAGGGTGGATCTGTGCAAGCCCACTTCCCACTTTCTGTGGTCCCTAGAGAGCAGACCAAACCGGAGCTGGTGATGAATTCCACACGCCTACCTGCTGAAGAGTGCCTGAAAACACCTGATATGGATGACTGCGGCGAGGAGAGTATGAACTGGTACTATGAAGCCAAGCGCAACAACTGCTTTACCTTCACGTACAGCCAGTGCAACAAAAACCGAAACCATTTCGATTCATATGAATTGTGCATGCTGTCCTGTGGAGCGGAGCTTGCAGCACCTTGCTCCCTGCCTAGCGTACAAGGTCCCTGCAAGGCTTACAAACCACGCTGGGCTTACAGCCATGCGGTCAAGAAATGCCAGTCATTTGTTTATGGAGGCTGCGGCGGCAACGAGAACAACTTCGAGAGCAAGGAAGCCTGTGAGGAGATGTGCCCTTTCCCCAAGACCCACAACTGCAAGCCATGCAAACCCCGGCAGAAGATGGTCCCCAGCTTCTGCAAGAGTGACTTTGTGGTCTTGGGTCGTATTTCGGAGTTGAGCGAGGACCACGATTCCGGCCACGCGCTCATCACGGTGGAGGAGATCTTGAAGGATGAGAAGATGGGGCTACGGTTCTTCGGGCAAGAGCCTCTGGAGGTGACGCTGCTCAACATGGACTGGAATTGTCCCTGTCCGAACATAACGAGAGCCGAGGGACAGATGATCATCATGGGGGATGTTCACAACGGCATGGCCACGCTGCAGCCCGACAGCTTCGTGGCCACTTCCAGTGTACGGCGTGTTCGCAAACTCCGTGAGGTTATCAACAAAAAGACTTGTGATGTTTTAAAGGAGTTCAGCAGCACAAAGTACTAAGGTGCTTCCAATACTTAAATCTCTGGATGCCCTAAACCAGGATTGTCAGATTCTGCTCCTGGAGGGCAACTTTTCTGATGAGTTGAGCTCTAACACACCTTCCTGTAAGTTTGATATGATTCTTCTAAAGACCTTGATTAGCTGGTTCAGGTGTGTTTCATTAAGCCTAGAGCTAAACTCTGCTGGAAGGTGTCCCTCCAGGAGTAGGTTTGGGTTCCCCTGTCCTAAACCAACGTGCCTGCCTCTCACCTGCTTTTCTTCGTGAAGCAGACTTACTCGCAAACTTGACTTGTAGTTTCTACAATCAAATGTTGTGCTTCCGCCGCAGGATAAAGCTGCTTGAATTGTCCATAGAGAGATGAAATATGTGGATTACACTGTGTGAATGACACATAAACATGCTAATATACTAGATGATTTCATACGAAAGTATTACCTTATTTACATCTACATGTTGTAGTGTGAGTCCAGTTATTTTAGTTTGACTAAAAATCCACAGATGTTTTTACTGAACTGTTTACCTGTCTCAGAACAAATGCCTAGCAGGCGGTTACTGAACATGAATCTTCAGTGGAGCAGGTGGTTAAAGATTACTAACCTATGAAGATTTCATTCAAGCTGAAGTGTGTAATTTCATATAAACCCTGTCTTAACATGCAGAGGCAATTTTGAGTAAGTTGATTACCTGGCACACATTGCTTAACTGTTTGAGCAGCCCGGCACAGCGACATTGGCTAATCCAGTACCGTAAGTTTATGTATGGATTCTGTTTGTCTGACCAGTGAGAGTGTTTAAAGGACAACTCCGGCACAAAATTAACCTTTGGTCTAATAACACATTGGTACCTAGTCAAGCGTTCTCTGAGATTTGTTTTCATGATAATCGAAAGTATAGTTGTATCTCTAAAAACTGTTTAGCTTATAATGCTAACAGATAGGGCATAGAGTAACGAAAAATAAAAATGGCCATTTATGGTTCGACTGGTCAAGACTGTTTTTCAAAGATGGCTCCTGTCTGAATACACAAAGTGAACTGTCTTTATAAAATATCTTCTTTTTTAACGTTCTCAATGCTTCGGTTTGCATGTATGGACCCTCATCATGTTACCATGTTAGTGTGGTGCTATGTTGAGCCTTGTTAGTGGTATTAAATAGCGATTTTTATTTTTCATTACTCTATGCCCTATACACTAGTGTTATAAGCTAAACAGTTTTTAGAGATAAAACTCTTTTATTCTAATATTCGATTATCATGGAAACAAATCTGAGCGAACGGTTGACGAGGTACCAATGTGTTATTAGACCAAAGGTTCATTTTGCGCCGGAGTCGTCCTTTGAGAAACCTGTGTGAAAACAGTCAATTTTGCAATTCCATTTGCCGCAAAAATTACACACTTCACCTTTAATTATGAAGCCATGTCATTATAAAACTAAAAAAAAACATGACATGTTAAATACTCTTGCACCTTATTATAATTCATAGTCTTTCGTATCTGTAATCGTTGTACTTTGTTCCGTCTATTTATGCTTTTACATTACTACCATAAATTGAAACAAAGGTAGTCCTATGTACGTGCTTTACAAAGCATGTTACGTGTTTTTTGTCAAACCATACAATGGCAAACATATAATGAGATTATAACTATTATTTTATGAGCAGTTGAAAATGTATTAAACGTTTATGGTAAAAACACCAGAGAGCCGATTAAAGACATTTTTCCAATCAAATCCTGGACCTTTCTTGCAAAACTTTCTGCATAGCTGGGGTTGTGGGACTTCATGAGGCGTTTTTGAATGAGCTTTGATAAGGGGGGACATGCTTTATGATAGAACAGCGGCCCCACCCCCCAATCCTGATGGATTCTATTGTCGGTCAGTCCTGGCCTTGGTTCTGGAACAGGTCACATTCCAGCTGTTCTTTGGTGGGAAGTGTTGCGGCTAAGGGGGGTGGGGGGCCAGTCTGATCCCTTGTGTTGTGTCTAGGTCTGGGACTCTCTCCTCGGCTGCAGACCTTTCATGTGAGAACCTTCGCCTCCCCCCAGCCGCCCGGCCCTCTCATCTCCCTAGCTCCAACTCCAGCCAAGCTGTGACCCTGCATGGGAGGGGAGCCAGCACACACACCACTCTCTGTTTTAAAGGCACGGCTTTGAACTTTTGACTGGAGCTGGATGGGAGGGAGAGGGATAACACATGCTTTTTCCCTAGGGTGGGCCTCCGATGGCTGCTACCTCAGGCTGGCTGACAGGGCCTCATCCATGACCCCGTAAGAGGCTAATGAAAAGAATGAAAAGAGCGAGGGAGAGAATCAGAGATAGGATTGGCTTGGGGGTGGATGCTGGGAATGTAGAGTGGGGAAGTTTCATTAAAACTGTTGACAAGTGTCAAGTCAAGCACTCAGGCTCAAGTTCAATGGATAAGATCGCAGAAAAAAAAGAAAGATCGGTGTTTACTAGTTTGCTTAACCGTTAGTTGTGAATGCTGGATGTTCATTGAGCAACACTGTAAGTGCATGTAATTGAGGGAACAAAATGTATTTTTAAGAACCAGCCATTGAAAAGACCGTATAAATTGGGCGCTAATCTTAATATTTGAGGGGACGTGTCCCCCTTAAAGCCGTGGGAGTTACAGCTATTGATGAGCATCTCGATCTCAGAATAAATTTAATGTGACCTTTACATCACCAAACCAAACTCAAAGGCAAACAAGAGATGATGGCACAGTATCTTTGCTCTCATGTTGCTTTTGTATTCCTTATATATGCTGCAATGTTAATCAACCCAAAATGTCTCCCCATGTAACAGGAAGTGCAAGGTGCTATAGCAAGATCATAGATTCAATTTCCAGAGATCCTGAATATCCTGAACTGTTATATCCTGTAAGTTGCTCTGTATAGGCCTAAAGGTTTAAACGCAGGCTATTTATTTAAGAAACTGTTGGCAACCGTTCGATGTGTTTTGTCAGTAAGAAATACTTCCTTGTGAAATTTTCCGTCTAAAATGTACCATATTAACCATAGTTTCCGACAAAATATCTTAGCTACTAGCCTAGGTAAGGTCGCTAATTTTCTTTTAGCTAAATGCTAACAGAACAGCTAAATGCTAACAGAATCTCCAGATAGTGTAAGAAGCCAACAAAATCTGTCCTTTTCTTTTCTATTTTTTGCTGATTGTTTTATATATGTAATACCATAGTTTATGGTAGTGTGGCAGGAACTTTAGTAACTAGGGCCTATTGTTGCCATTGTTGATTGTTTGACAGATTCACTGACATCTACTGGTCAGTGGTCAGCATTGGAAGGGATTACTTTTTTTTTTCAAAATACACTACTGTTCAAATGGTTGGGGTCAGTAAGATTTTATTTTTAAGAAATTAATACTTTTATTCAGCAAGAACGAATTTAATTGATCAAAAGTTAATAGTAAAGACATAAAATAGATTTCAGTTGTACTTTATTTTACAGTACGTGTAGGCTACTTGCATGTCCTTACAATGAACTTACCTAAGAAAATACTTAATGTAAGGTAACTACATGGGTTACGGTTAGGTTTAGGAGAAGGTTCAGGGTTAGTATACCTAGTTATTACCCAGTTAAGGCTGTACAAAATTACATGATCAATAAGTTGTGAAAACAATCGTTTTTACATTGCTTTAACTCATCAAAATAAGTTAAGCAATTATATATTATATAATGCAAGATTCAACTCATTTAAGTCTGCTTAATGTAACTTAGTTGAAATTACATTATTTGAATTTAAGTTGATTGTAGCTACTTAATTTAAGGCAGCAACCTTTTTAAAATAAAGTGCCTCCAAGATTTCTAGAACAAATAAAAACTTTTTAATCATCCTGAAAAAAATGTCTCACTTTCCAAACTATTAAGCAGCACATCTGTGTTCAACATTGATAAAAGAGTGCTGCAGGAATAACATGTTTTTGTAGGCCAAAACCCAGAAATTAAATAGCATTTTAGCATTTCCTATTCCACCATCCCGAAGTGATGCCAATATTTTTTTTAAAGGATTTTGGTTAAAAACCTGAAATAAGTTATGCGGTGAACGCAATATATTTTCACGTTTTATTCAAACATTAAAACACATCAGTAATACCCAACTATTTTTAAAGGTTTTTTCTAAAGCTAACAAGTTTCAGTGCAGAGGTTGTTGACGTTAAAAATCGTTTTCAGAGCCTCGTGTTTATACTCATGCTCTTGCAAAATATCATAACTCAAAGTTTCAGAGAATTTTTTATTTGTTTTTATTTTTTATGAAATGTTGTCACAAGGTGAAGTCGAGCGACTGTAGTGTAGTTAGTTCGTTTATAACCTAAGGTTATAGGCCCTAGCTTTTATTTCTGGCAATATTTAGGCTTCAAAATTCATAACCAATTATGTTCATTTGTTAAAATGATCTTGATGGACAAAAAGTAACTTAAATGTTTGTTGATTACATGCAGTTTATTTTCTGCGATAGGCTAATCCAAAAGCCAATGATAAAATCCTTTTCCGTTTTTGTCGAGGGAACCAGTGATGCTAACTTCAGGGTTGGTCTACAAAAATACGTTAGCAGTCTATAGAATAAATGCTTCTTGAGCACCGAATCAGCATATATTAGAATGATTTATGAAGGATCGTGTGACACTGAAGACAGAAGTAATGATGCTGAAAATTCAGAACAAGCTGCCCCCCTCGACATCTGTGGTGGGCTATTATGGTCTCATTATAGTGGACTATCATGTAAAATTTCAGTGGAAAGCAATGGACTTTTTACTGATTTAACCAATGTTGTGATTTTTTTGGCATTTGGATGAGATTTGCACCGACATCTATTTTGAATCATCTTGACCCCTGCAGTCTCGCTTCGAAGGGCCTCATGCCCTTAACAGTGTTCAAGTACTTCTGCTACAGATTTATCCTGCCTACTTATTCCTGGTGCCTCAAGTCACTCTCATGGAGGCACTTTTCTTTGGTGTCCATTGATTTGCGTGCTCTGCTCTGACAGGGGAAATCGTTTCTTCTCGAAGTAAATTATGCAAATGAGATGTTTCATTCCATATGCAAAAGTGGGCGTGCATATGGCCCATTCATACTGGGAAGAGGTTCCCACAGCGATCAGGAGTCTAGTGATGTCCCGTACGGGTGGGAGTCCCCAGAAGTAGACAACTGATGTACAGCATCAAAAAACAAGACTCCTTCATTGTATTAACTCCAAATTTTTCCATTTCAATGAACTTCAAATTTTAAGGCAACCAGGTTACTTCATTTTTTAAGTTAAACCAACAATATTTTTTTTTTACAATAATTGTATCCCTTAACACTCACCTTGTAACCAAAATTCCACCAAAATGGAATAAAAGTTTTTTTCTTAAAATAGCTTGAATGTAACTCTCCACCTTTGCTTGATTTAGGGTAGGCAGATTCATAAATATGCAAATTAGCCCCGCCTCCATTCACTCTTACAGGTTCACAGATTCACTCGGCC